CCCTGGACCCTCACAACTCCAGCCCGACTCTGCCAATGGGCCGGAAAGTGGCTCCGTGACGTCATTGGAACGCGCCGCCGCCTGCCCGAAAGCGCGACGCGGCGAACTGCGGCGTTCCCATGGGAACCAACCGCCGCCTCCGGCCCCAGAGAGCCTTGGAGACCGGGTCTGGGTGGGCGGGCGCGGCCTCCTCCCGCGGGTGTGGACTGGCGAGTGCAGTCAGGAACCGTTCTCCGTCTGAGTGCGGGGCGGAGGAAGGGGAGCAGGTTCCCAGGGGTTGAAGCTGGGCAACGTGGGGGAGCGTTTCGTACAGCAGTGCCTGCAGTTCAGTCTTTGAAAACTAGATTTTAATATGCCCGGTACTCAGCCCCCGGAAATGGAGGGGCCTAACACGCGGACCCCGAAACCCAACAACGGGAGCCCATGTCATCCCTAACACTCACCCACCGGGTCTTCCCAGGCCTCGACCCCAGGGGCTGCCTCTTGGGTCTGAAGGCATCAGCGTGAAGGCTGGGACTTGGGCCGTGGGTCGCCCCAGCCCCAGGGAGCTGGGCTGCTCAGCCCCGGCTGGTGATTCTGGGCTGGGCCGGGGATGCAGGGGCTGAACAGCAGGAGTTGCCCAGAGCGCCTCTTAACTCTGCCTTAGAGGTAACACTGCCCTGAATAGAAGTGGATTGATTTATGGGTGGTAGAGAAAGTTACTTTTTCCAGGTCACAACATAGGGTAGTAGGAAGTACGTGAGGTGTGTTTTTTAAAATTGCTTTTGAGAGAGAGAGAGAGAGAGAGAGAGAAAGTCGGTTGCTTCCTGCAGGCACCCTGACCAGGGACTGAACCCACAACCTAGATATATGTACCCTGTCTGGGACTCAAACCCACCACCTTCTGGTGTACAGACCACTCTCCAACCAGCTGAGCCACAGCGGCCAATTTTGCAGTTAGAAAGATCTGAGTTCACACCCAGTATGACATGGTGCTTAAGAACCGGAATTGGACTGCCTATTTTGTTTCACCGTATACTGGCTGTGTGACCCATGTTTCTTTCGCCCCGTTTCCCCATCCATAGAACGGGAATAGTAACAAACTCATAAGGTTGCAGTGAGGATTAAGTGAGTTAATTCACGTAAAGTGCTTAGAACTGTGATACAAGTAAACCCTCAAAAACAATGCTGTCATTACTATTATTAAATTCCAGCAGCCACCACTTACTAGCTTTATGACCTTGGAAAATTTTTCTCAGCCCCTCTGAGCCTCTTTTCTTACTTCTGCAAGATTATTGTGAGAATTAAAATAAATATTGTATATAAAGCACATAATAGGTCATCAATCTTTATGTTCCAATATCAGCCTTAAAAAATAAGGCAAATTCCTGGCAATGAACTCTTTGGCACTATTTTTTTTTTTTTAACTATTGATTTCAGAGAGAGGAAGGGAGACGGAGAGAGAGAAACATCAATGATGAGAGAGTCATCGTTGATCGGCTGCCTCCTGCACGCCCCCCACTGAGGACTGAGCCCGCAACCCGGGCATGTGCCCTGACTGGGAATAGGAACCACAATCTCCTGGATCCTAGGTTGATGCTCAACCGCTGAACCACGCCCAGTCAGGCTCTTTGGCATTATTAAGGAGGTTTTAACTTTGAGTCTTGAATGTTTCTTGCCCTTTAACCTCACTGGGCTAAGCAATGCCAGTGGACACTATTAGGTGTCATGGCTGACCAAAGTCGTAAGCAGATAAAGAAAAATCAAAAGAAAGAAGAGATAAATAAAAAGAGTATATATGGTCTAGACTACTTGAACCATAGCAACTATTCTTTGGGGTTCTGTCAATTAGTCTTCAGACAGTCCAAGGATGGCCTGTGTGAGTCAGAGGTACCAAGATGTAGGTTTTGGTGCATTTGTATTAGTTCTGAACAGACTCAAATATAGTTCTTCTGTAGCTTTTTTAGTTTATAAGTATCTGTTTTCTAGGTTGCTAGGGTAAACAGGAGCTGCAGAACATTTTATTAGCTTTGGTTATTTTCTTAATAAATCATGTCACTGTGTCCTTCCAAGGCCCTTTAGGGCTCTCTTTGATCCTTGATCCAGTGGCCATCCCTCCATTTTCCCAGGTTTGTCGTCATTGGCCAGGTGTATTGTGTATTGTGCATTAGAGTTTGATCACCACAGTCACATGTGCCCTTTGGTAGTGCCAGGAATTTTCCCACACACCAGCAACCAATCATTTTTCTTCTTGTCAGAAGAAGCCATCCTTGGGGACTATTGCGAAAGGGAAGATTTGGGGGCTGGGTTTGGGCCAGTCTCCCAGTCCTACCTTTCTCTCCGTTGATACTCTGGGCAAGGTGAACACCTCTGGCCTGACCTGAGCTTTCATCTCAACTCTCAGCATCGTCATCATGTTGAGTTGCTTCTTCCTCCTGAAGGCACTTCTTGCTCTTGGGTCCCTAATGTTCTGGGTGACTGCAGGCGAGCACGGTGAGCTATCATTTGGGATCCCTGGCTAACAGTAACAGAAAGTGACTAGAGAAGTTGTCCCCTGCCGCCTCCCAGAGCGAGGGGCCTCACTCTTGGAGATGGTCATCTCTGTAGGACGGGACTGGATGCATAGGTTTTTGAGACAGCCAGGGTGGGTTTCCCTGGCTTTCTTCACCCTCTCTGGACAAGGAGATAGGACTTCCAGTCTGGCTTTCCCCTAGAGTTTCTTAAATGAGAACAGGAGCACCCCAACCTTTATCTGCAGAATGGCTGTTCCTTTGGTAGCGGGGTGTGTGTGTGTGTGTGTGTGTGTGTGGTAGTGTTGTGTGGGTGGAGGGGAACATGGTTGCAGAGAGATTTAGAGAGGAGTGTTTGGAGAGGCTGAAAGTTCTTGAAGCACATTTGGCTCCCATGCCGCATTTCTTGAGGCCTGGCAAGTTAACCCAACCTCGCGTGATATCTCTTGCAGTGAAAGAAGGAGAATGCCCTCCTGACAAGAACCCGTGCAAAGATCTGTGCCAGGGGGACGAATCGTGCCCGGCGGGGCAGAAGTGCTGCAGCACGGGCTGCGGGCGGGTCTGCCGAGGCCTGCCTAAGGGTACGTCGGTATGAGGGCAGACCCCAGTGTGCTCCCGGACCTTGCCCCTGGGCTAGGCGGACCGAGAGCGCCCCGCCTCCCACATTGGCTCTTGATGTCTAACTTGCCTGGAGCACCTCTTCTTTCTTCTTTTGGAGGCCTTTTCTCCTTTAACACTCAGTGTCCCCAGTTGTTTGTCTTCTATCAGGAAAGAACATGTGACTGATTCTCCCTGTTTTACTTTGAACTCGGGGTTCTTATGAAGGCTGGAGGGCAAAGTTGTGAAGAGAAGCCTGTTGAAGATCGTGATGAAGGGAGTAAACAGCCAGGCAGACCTTCTTAAGCCTTAAATAAACCGAAAATAGTTCTTTTTAAGTGCTAACTTTTTCAGGCTCAATTTCCTCATCTGTAAAATGAAGATAATTGTTTGTACCTTTGTAGAATTGTTGTGAGGCTCAGATGAGAGGTTTCTGGCACAAAGTAAACTCAGTAAATGATACAGCAAATATGAGCTATTATCCTTGTCACCGTGTGCTTTAGCACCAGGGTGGAAAGTCCTAAATGAAGCTCAGGGCTTCCTTCCTCTGATTTGCTGATCTGCTCTGCCTGTGGGTGTCACCAGGCACCATTATCTCTTTTTGTGGCTGTCTCCCTTTCTGCTACAGGGAGGAAAGGAGATTGTCCCAGGGTTGTTCGGAAACAATCCTGTTTTAAAAGGTGCGTCACTGATGAGATGTGTCCAGGTGTAAAGAAATGCTGCAGGTTTGGCTGCAACAGAAGCTGTGTCGTCCCGATCCCTAAACAGAAGCTGGGTAAGAAACTTCGCCACGTACCCCATGCTCTGCTTCGCCTCCTGGTTTCTTTCTCAGATATGCACGTGCCATCTTGTTATAGGTTTTCCTTTACTCTGAAAAACAATGAAGTACCTCCTATATTTGGAGATCTTTTCTAAGAAAAGATATAAGAAGGATACCAAAGCCGTGATGGTCTGAGGGACGTGGCCTAGGCTGGCAGAGGAGGCTGCTACAGGGAAACCTTGGCGTATCCGTATTTGGGGCAGATTTGAAAGCTGCCGGGTAATTTCCAGTCCTGTTGTCAGTTGCAGTATTATCTATGAAAATCTTAGCCGGAGAATCTGTAGAGAGGTAGCAAAAAGAATCCTTCTACCTATACAAGGCAGCACTCATTTCCCCACTTACTTGCTTCTGAGACTTCGCGTCCCCTCTGTCCACACACAGGATGGCCATCTCCTGTTGGAAACGGGACCTATTTTATTCTGATTCTAGTAAAGAGGTGTTTGAAAGAGATTTCTTCTTCCTCTAACTGGGTCTCCATGACCTACTTCTCCATTTGCATGTCATTTCTGTAGCAAGTGTTTACTGAGTGTTTACTATTTGCCAGATCCAGTGATGGGCTCTGGGTAATTGTGGTGAACAAAGCAGATCCAGTCCCTGCCTTCGTGGAGCTCCTAGACTAGTGCGGGAGAAAGGGGCTTAACAGATAAGCATGCAAATAAATATGTAATTTCAAACCGTGGCAAGGACACGGAGGAAAATTAAAGGGTGCTGAGAGAGGATAACAGGGCACTCACTTTAGACTGGGTGGTCAAGGGAGGCCAGTCTGAGGCAGTGACATTTAACTTGCGACCTGGAGTTGAAGTTAGGTCAAGGGTGTGATGAACATTCCTTGCAGAAGTGTTGGAGCTGAGGAGGAGCTTGCTGCGTTTGAGAAACTGAAGGAGAGCTGGTATGGTTAGAGACAGGGAGGGACAGAGCGATGCCAGGTGAGGATGGGGTGCAGTTTGACCAGGCAGGTGGCAGTGGGGATGGAGAAAGGTGACACAACTGAGAGAATTCAGAGGTAGAAGTGACAGAACTGTCTGCTCTATTCTTTGGCGCATTCCCATTCCCTTGAGAGGCCCTCCAAAAGCACTAGACATTGATAATGTGTCTCCCATGGCTACCCCCTTCTCATTTCCCTTGGTTTCAGATTGTCATGGCTACTTGTACTTGCTTGTACTTCCAAATATATTTTATTATCATCACCCCTTCCTCCTCTCCCAAATACTGAGGCTACTTTTATTGGAGAGGTGTTAGATGTATAAATTAACTTAGAGAGAACTGATGTTTTTACAATGTTGGATCTTTATGTCTTCCCATTTTCCAAGTGTATTTGGTGTATTTCAAGGTGTTTCCTAGTTTTAAAGTATTTCTTGATAAGTTAATGCCCAGATTATTTTATTATCTTCTTTGCTATCTCAAATGGGACCTCATATCTTCCATTATGTTTTTTTAAAGGAATTGGAACCATTCTCTCATCTGAGTACATGTGACATCATATTACAATGAAAAAGCATAGATTTTTGGTTGTCAGAGATCTGGGTTCAAGCCTGAGGCTCACCAGTTACTGGCTAGTGGGTCCCTGGTCAAGTCTCTTCTGCTTCTCTGAGCCTTGGTTCCCTTCGCTGTAAAATGAAAAGAATAAACCTTGAAGGTTGTTGTAATGATTCAAAGTATCTAAAGTGTTTGGCCCTCACTATACATGAGCTCTTTTCCTTTTGCCTCTTAGGGTGAGTTTCTGATCAGTCCCTTTTATCAAGAAGCAGGATCATTTTCTCTTCCCCTGATCATTTCTTCTTTGAGACCCTGACCCTCCACAGTATGTGACAACCTCTTTCCTCCCAGCCAGACCTCCCCAGGTAGCAGGCCCCTTCCCTGCGCCCAGTGCAGTCGCCTGTGCCTGGCTTAGGCAGCTCTCTTGGGCAGCCTGCCCATAAGAGAGAATAGAGGGTTGTACTCCTTGCCAGGACTCTTGAGGCCCAGCTCTGGAACCAGAGCCTGGGAATCTGTCTCAGGCATGTCACTCATCACCAGCATGTAGGGCCTGGTACAATCTGCCCAGTGTTTGAAGCGATAGCTGCATTGTTGGGGCCGGGGATGAGGCTGGCACCCTGGCAAGGCACCTTTGTGAGCTGCTCTGGGCCCTGGCCAGCCCAGTTGGGGCTTCCTCTCTGCTTTGAGCCAGGCAGGCTAGAATAGTGATCTCCCAGAGCCTGTTGGCTGAGTGGGGTGCCTAGTCTGGTGAGAGGTGATATTGGCTATTGTGTTAGTAGTTAACTACTTTTCTATAGTTCCTGTCCTAGAGGAGGGCTGGGCACTCACTCAGCGGGACTGGTTGCTACACCCAACTCCACAGGAAGCTCTCCTTTCTGGGCTATGAACAACTTCTGTTTTCCCTAAGCTCTGATATTGCCAGAGGTTGACCATAGCCTGTGCTGCTCTGTTTGGTAGGGTGGTGGGACAATCAGGTTGCCTAGGGCACCGGCCAGATGCTCCAATGAGGCAGTTCTGGTCTGAGCATGGGTCTGACTCCTGGCTCCTCTGCTTGCCTGCTGTGTGGTCTTGGGCAAGTCCTTTCATCTCTCTGAACCTCGCTTTTGTCATCTGTAAAATGAAGATAAGGACATTTACCTCATAGAGCGATAATGCAATGTCCTTGTTGGGGCTGCTATACCAGAATACCATAGACTGGGGGGATTATAAACAACAGAAGTTTATTTCTCACAATTCTGGGAGCTGGGAAGTCCAAGGTCAAGGTGCAGGCAGATTTAGTGTCTGGGGAAGGCTTGCTTTCTGGTTCATAGACTGCCGTCTTTTTGCTGTGACCTCACATGGTGGCAGGGCAGTAAGGGCACAAATATTTATGAGGGCTCTGTTGTCATGACCTAATCACCTCCCAAAGGCCCCATTTCCAAATACCCTCATAGTGGGGATTAGGTTCCAACATATGAATTCTTTTGAGGACAAAAACATTCTGTCTATATCATGCAGTTTAGAAAAAAATGCATTTTAAAAGCTTATACAAAAACTGTCAAATAATGTTCGACAGTCGTAGTTGTGCCAGCACCTTCCTATTCGAGTTCCCTCCCAGCTGCCTGAAGTCTGACCTTGCATTCACTCACTCACTCCTTCATTTACTCACTCCGTATCCAGTGTCTCCCCCACCTAACACATGGGCATCTGCTGGTGACCAAGGCAGCCATGGTCCTTGTTCTCATGGTGTGAGCGACAGGAAGTAATCAATAAGTAATAATAACCGCAAGTTGCAACGAGTGCTATGAAGGAGAAGAGAGGTATAGAGAAAGTGTTGTTTTAACTTGGAGAGCGAGAAGGAGCTGGCCATTGTATCCTTTGCTGTAGTAAATCAGAGCCATGAGTACAACTGCGTGCCAAATCCTGTTTGTCCTAGTGAGTCACCAAATTGAGATGGTCTCGGGGCCTCCTGACACACTGGTTTGCTTATGTTTTCCTAACCCCTTAAATTGTCTATCTCTGGGTCTTCTCTTTTGGCAGAACTGGGCTGAGTGAGTCCCAGCGCTTGTTGATTTGTTTGGGGGTGATCCTTGTGGAGTAGGGGCTCATAGTGATGTGGTTTAAAGGGCACCCCTAGACCTGGGGGCTCGGGGCCCAATTCTGCCATCATTGATCTCAGGTCAGTCCCTCTCCTTTCCTGGATGTCTGTCTATTTTCAAGAGAAGAGGAGTAGGTTCCATAGCTCAGAGGGCCCTTCTTGGCTTGAGACGTCTTGGAATTTCACTTTTCTGCCAGTGATTGCCCGCATCCCCAGGACCAGCATAGAGACCAAACCTCTACTCTCTTCCAGCAGCAGAGAGCTCCTGGCGTTGGTCACTTCAGGGCCAAGCTCAGCAGAAGGCTGAATTCTGGGAAGCATGCTACTCTAGGACCCACTTTCTAGGCCACATGCTGTAACTCCATGAGAAGTTTACGTTGCTGCTTTTTTTCCACCAGGGAGACTTAACTGTGGAACAAAAGGCTTTGTTCTTTGTTAAATGGATTTTAGTGTTTGTAAAGCAGGCGGGGAGGTGTGGAGAGGTACATCTGGTTGTTATAATGACCATCATTTTTCTTTTTTTAATGTATCTTTATTGATCTCAGAGAGAGGAAGGGAGAGGGAGAGAGAGCTGAAACATCAATGATGAGAGAGGTGACCATATTTTCTGAGTAAAAATCAGGACACATAGTTTTGATGCCATCTGACACTGGCACGGAGCATTTGAAATAGGAGCTGTTCTGAAAAACCTTAGAGTATGGGGTGATTATACCTTGATTTTTTAGCTTCGTGTGCTCTCTTGGGAGGCCAACACTTGCCTTTTCTATCAAGGCGGACCTTCCGGAGCCAGCCACATGCAATCATACTTAAATGCTCTCACTCAGAGGCACTGAGCCAATCCTGCGCTGGTTTTCCGCAAAGCCTTTAATTACTTGTCACTTTTTTCCTTTTAAAAAACTTGAAATAAACACTGAGGTGAATGAGTCATGGCGAGCTAGTTTGGTTTGGATGTGGCTTCTTTGGGCGTGCCTGCTCCAGGGGACCTGGCTCGGCGCCTGCGTGCTTTAAGGGTGATGTAGCAGAAAGAGTGCTCCCCAGCAAACCAGGAGGCTGAGTTTTGTCCTGTGAGTCAGTTTGTCACTGACTCACTGTAGTTCTGGGCAAGCCTCTTCTCTGAATTCCATTATCTTCATAGGGGTGGTGACAGGGCACATCAGGGATGTGTCTGTACGCAGCAGAAAATTTACCCAATAGGGGTTCATTTTTCTTGCATAAGAAAAAGTCCTAAAGTAGGTGCAGCTCCATAATGCTAACAAGGATAAGGCTGTTTCTCTCTTCCTCTCTGCAACCCTTGACTTTCTCCTTATACTAGTTGCCTCCTGGTCCAGAGAAGGCTGTTGTACCTCCCTGTATTTGTCTTTGCACTGAAAGAAGATGGGAGTGAGGGGCAGCTTGAAAGGTGTAGTCTTTATTATCAGAAGTGCAAAAGTTTGCCAGCTACATCTCAGTTTGTGGTGACCCCTAGTTACAGGGGAATGGGGGGAGCAAATTATTTTAGCTGGCTGGGCTCATTGCATCTTAGAACAAACCTGCGGTTCTGTTAACCAGAGTTTCAGTTATCTATTGCTTCATACAAACCACCCACAAACTTAGTGTGGGTTAGCTGGGCAGTTCTTATACCACATGGCGTAGCTGGGGTCACTCATAACAGGCACATGTGGCTGGGGGCTCAGTGGGGAACTCGACTGTGGCTGGGATGCCCAGGATCCTCTCTTCATTCAGATTCTCTCTCATGGGGCACCTCATCATTACGTAGTCTATTCTCGCCCAACCTGCTCATAGCATGGTGGCTGGTTCCCAAGGGAGAGTCTTCTTAAGAGGACAGGCCTCACTATGCAACTGCTTAGCAAAGCCTCTGCTGCATGAATTGCACTTGCTGTCTTGTTGGTCAAAGCAAGTTACATGGTCAAGCCCAGAGACAATCTGGGAGGGGGCTATATAAGGTGGGGTTCATCGGGAGCCACCAGTATAGATGTCTACCACAGCCAGAAAGTGGGTCAGACCTTAGCAGTGTTTTTCAAACTGCAAGTCCTGAAATGAACTTAGTCGTTTATGGCCTGCATTAAGAAAAGGAGAAATAGAATATATGGTATCAGCGTTGCATATATGTGAATGTACCTAGGTCTGTACATTTTAAACATACTTCTGTTTAAAAATTAATAAATGAAAAATGTATTTTGTACTCAAGAATCACAGTAAAAATAGCTGGAAACATTGGGTTGGAGCATCTCTGGGACCCAACGCTCTGATTCTACGGCAGGGTTTGAAGGTGAATGTCCAGCTGACCCCCTTCCATGTGAGGAACTGTGTGATGGGGACGAGTCCTGTCCCCAGGGGCATAAATGCTGCAGCACTGGCTGTGGCCACATCTGCCGTGGAGACCTTAAGGGAGGTATGTTGACTTTTTGGGGAAGGAATCCTTGAGTGCTCCTTGAGTCCCAGTCAGTTTGGGAGGGAGTCATCTGTGGCCTTCTCATCTTTCCCTTCCTGGGAGGAATCAGAGTGTTCATCCTTCCTGTCCCCATGGGCCCCTCAACCCAAAGCAACCCCTCCTCCTAGGGCCAGGGGTCCTTGTTGGCATTAATAACTGGGGGAGTCGGGGGTAGCAGGGCAAATCCCTAGGTTGGAAGGCAGCATGGCTTCCAGTCCGGCTTCTGCTGTAGATTTGCTCTGTGACCTTGGGTGAGCCAACCTCTCTTTTGAGCCAATTTCTTCATCTATAAAATGAGGGAGTTGCCCAAGATCATGATTTTCTGATCTAAGATTCTTAGCATAAAGCTTCCTTGCCTCCAAAAGGAGCTCTTAGTTGGAAGCCACACATGCAACCAGGTGAAAGTGTTCCTGACCTGATTTCTTTATTTCTTCAATATATTTTTAAACAAATGTGTATTTTTGAGTGTTCCTGTTGTGCCAGGCACTGTGGAACTCCACTTCAGAATCACTGGCCCAGATGTTGTCTTTAGAGATCATTTATTACCCAGGCAATGCCAGGGCTTGGGGACAGACTCTTGTCCTTATGCAGAATGTAGCCTATCAGGGAAGGTGGACAAATGAGTGAGTTACAGTGAAGTTGGATGAAAAGAGCACAGAGCAGCACAAAATCTGTCTAGGGTGGCAGAGAAGCCTCCCCGAGGAAGTGACACTGTGAAGCCCAGGTGTCGGGGAGAGGGCAGCCTTCTGGGAGCCTCGCTCCTTCTACATGCCCCCCAGCCCCATGCCCACAGAGGTGTCAAACCCCGAGGTACCTTTGAGGAGCTCCCTGTGGGACACTATTTGAAAACTGTTGGTCCAGGTGCTCTCTTGGAGCCTTAGAGATTCTCAGATCCTCCAGTTTCAAGGTTTCCCAGCCAGATCTTTGGTTCAGTGATGGATTCGCTGGGAGGCCCCATGCCTGAGTTCCAGACGGGAACTTGCAGTCAGTGGAGCCGAGTATCCCTTTTGCCTGTTCTTGTTTTCCCACAGGGCAGGGTGGCGATTGTCCGAACATTTTGGTGGGCCTGTGCATTGTCAGCTGCATGATGGATGAGAACTGTCAAGCCGGGGCGAAGTGCTGCAAGTCAGGCTGTGGCCGCTTCTGTGTCCCACCAGTTCTGCCTCCCCAACTGGCCATGAATCCCAACTGGACCATCAGGTCTGACTCTGAATTAGGTGAGTGCAGTCTAGCATCCTCAAAAACAATGGACCTAACTGCCGTATGTGAAGCACTGGCTTAGGTGCTGGGTAGGGGACTTCAGAAGGCCAGGAAAAAGTTTGTTTCTGCCCTGGAGAGTCTAGTTGGAGAGAAAGATCATATGTTCCAGATCATATATCACAGAACCCTTGCATGGACAGTGCGGGCTTACAGGCTTTCAGGGTTGGGTGGGGCTCCTTAGGAAGGCCTTTCTGCTAGAAGTAGGATTTGAGCTGGACCCTCAAGGTGAGGCAGAATGTGACAAAGGGAGGACAGCCCAGAGAACATGCTGGACAGGCGGACTGGTGATTGTTAGCAAAGGCACAGGAGGTGGGATGTATATGACATGTTTGGGGAGCCGGGGTGGAGGTGGGGGGTGAGAGTGGGCAAAGGAACAGACATGCTGTTGTTATAACAGGAGATATAAAGTTGACATCTGAATGAGAAGAGTCTTCATGCCAGTTTGGACTGGATTGTCTAGGAAGCAGGGAGTCAGTCAGTTAAGGCTTCTGAGAGCGATATATGCCAAGCTTCTCTAGGGTGGAGGGGAAACACATTGGGGACCTGGAGCTAGGAGGGCACAGTTGTGACTTGACGTTTCTTCTTGCAGAGACCCCGGTGCCCTAGCTGTCCTGATTTGTCCTGAGCTGCTCTGGTGACTCCAAGCGGCTTGTCCTGGAAGCCAGGAGAGGGTGATGTCGTGGGCTTGTGATACTCCCAGAGGCTCTCATTGCCCTCCGCTCTGCTTCTGTCCCTGCTGCTGCCCTGAGCATAGGAAACAGCCCTGGGGTTGGGCAGTGGGTATGTGGTGCTTCTTGTCCCCAATAAAGGCTGGTGATGATCCTCTTGTCTGTGCTGATTGAGGACTAAGATGTGGAAAGACAGCTATGGGGTCTGAGCGTGGCTGTGAGATTATGAGACTTATTTGGGAAGGACAGGAAATCCATTCTTTCTGAGAACACTGAAAATGGGTGCAGGTTGGGTGTGGCTAGGGGAGAGATGGGTAGAAGGTAAAACTTGGGGTGATCTGCCATAGATGTCACTGTTAAACCTCAATAGTAGGACAGTCAGGCCTCTTTTTGGTTCTGCTGACCTTTCTTTTATCAGAGAATGTGGGTTGGGGATGGAAGTTGGCTGAGGGGCTAGAGTATTATAGTCACTTGCATGTTTCCACCTTGGACCTCCTTCCTTGGCTGCCAGCCTTTGCTCCAAGATAGGCAGTTTGTCTCCTTCAGGTAGCGTTACTGTAAGGAGGGGGTGTTTTTACGTTCTTGAAACCAAGATAATTAAAAAAATATATATATCTTTATTGATTTCAGAGAGGAAGGGAGAGGGAGAGAGAGAAACATCAGTGATAAGAGAGTCCTCATTGATCTGCTGCCTCCTTCGTGTTCCCAACTGGGGATCGAGCTCATAACCCCGGCATGTGCCCTGACTGGGAATCAAAC